TCTGGTTCTGCGTCACTGTGGAAGTTGGGCTGGCATCGTTCATGGGGGCAGATGAGGCTGACTTGGTCACACCTGGCATCTTGGCTACCGTGATTACCATGGCCGGCCTTCTACAGTGGTGGACTGAACAGCAGGCCGAGTCCATGATGAACTCCCTACAGCAGCTGCAATCGGCAGAGCACGTAGACGTTTACAGGCACGGCCAATGCGAAAAAATCGCGCCGGAGCAACTTTTGCCAGGCGATGTCTTGTGTCTGGAGGCTGGGCAGCGCGTTCCAGCCGACATCCGCATCCTGAGCATGACAGGCACAGTACTTGTGGACAACTCCGCGCTTACCGGCGAGTCCATAGCAGAGCCGCGACGCAAGGAGGCAATGGACGCAGAAGACGGAAAACAAGCTCCAATTCTACTGGAGTCGAACAATGTCCTTTTTTCCGGGACAAGTGTAGTTGAAGGCAAATTGGCGGGCGTTGTTTTTGCCACTGGTGACAGCACTCTGCTGGGCAAGATAGCGAAGGGTGTGCAGCATGCACGGCCTCGTTCATCGCTAGAAGTTCAGATTGAACATTTCGTGCATATGATTGCCATAACTGCCACCTGCACCGGCTTACTATCTTTGGTTGCCAACCTGCTTTCGCCCCAGAAGCTTAGCATGGAGAAGGTCTTGTTGAACTCCTCAACAGCGTTTTTTACATTTGTCCCCGAAGGCCTCATGCCGACAGTGACGTTCTCCTTGATGATCTCCTCCCGGCAGATGGCTACAAGGCAAGTGCTCGTGAGAAAGATTGATGCGATTGAAACTCTTGGTTGCGTGAACGTTCTTTGCAGTGACAAAACTGGGACACTCACCTCGGGCAAGATGACAGTTACAGACCTTGCAATTATGGAAGCTGGGAGTCTGACGAACATGTCGCTGCAGGAGGCACAGCAGGCAGGTTCCTCCAATGACACGTTGAGCAAGCTTGTGCAGGGCGGCCTCCTGAATTCTAGCGCGCAGGAGAGTGCAGAGCTGCAGTTCGTCGGTTCTCCAACGGAGGTCGCCATTGTTTCTGCGTGCCGTACAATTGGAGGTAAGTCTTTGCAAGAAGTACGTGGAGCTGCACCTCAAATCTACGAAATTCCCTTCAGTAGTGCTACGAAGTGGATGCTGACAGCACACAATTCGCAGGACAAGGGCGAGCAGCGCAGTCAGCCCAGCGAACAAGCAGCATCCGTGCAGCTTCTCCTCAAAGGAGCTCCAGAATTTGTGGTTGGCTGCTGCAAGCTTTCGCCGCAGCAGTTGGAGGCAGTCACCAAGTGCTATGAAAGCTTCATGGCCTTAGGCAAGCGTGTGCTCTGTGTGGCAGAGTATGCTTTTGCAGCTCCAAGCAACTTCGAGTTTAAAGGCTCCGGTCCGCAAGATGTCAATTTCCCCCTATCGAACTACACACTTCTCGGCGTATTTGCGATCGAAGATCCGCCGAAGCTTGGCGTTCCGGAGTCCATATCCAACATGAGGGAGGCTGGATGCCAGACAATTATGGTGACTGGCGATCACCCGAACACAGCAATGGCAATTGCTCGGCGAGTAGGCATAGTCTCGACCGCTGTGGAAGACTTCGTTGACGGAGAGGACTTCCGTGCAATCACCGGAGCCATGATTGAAAGCCGAGGCCAGCCACCTGATGGAATATCGCTTGCAGACATTGCTGCAGATGCTTCTCTGGCACCCAGCTGTGCAGAGTTCTGGCAGATGTGTGTCAAGCATGCCTGCGTTTTTGCGCGGGTGTCCCCGTTGAACAAGCAGGCAATAGTTCAAGCTTATCAGCTATTTGCAGGCCATGTGGTCGCTATGACGGGGGACGGTGTCAATGATGCCCCCGCCTTGAAGGAGGCCGAGGTTGGAATCGCGATGGGTATCAGAGGCACCGAGGTGGCAAAAGAGGCTGCAGACATTGTCTTACTTGATGATGATCTTCGAAGTGTAGCTGCCGGTATTGAGCAGGGCCGTCTTTGTGCGGAGAATCTGCGCAAGTCGATACTTTATACGATGTGTTCCAAGGTGCCACAGGCGCTTCCAACATTTGCGCAGCTCCTGGGAATACCAGTTGCACTAACAACTGTTCAGGTTATTCTTATCGATATTGGCACGGACATCTGGACCGCCATTGCGTATGCAGCACAGCCACCAGAGGCTTCCTTAATGCACAGGAAGCCACGCCACCCGAGAAAGGATGCAATCGTCAACAGAGGAATGCTGCTCTACTCCTTCGCCTATGTTGGGTTGATCCAGTCTATTTGCTGCTGGATCAGCTTCTTCTACATGCCGGAGATGTGGAAAGTATTCAACAAGACGGAGATTCCAGTGGTTTATTCGGCTCAGGAAAAGGTTTCCATCCAAGCAGGCACAACCATGTACTACTGGGTGCCTAGTCTTCGTTGGAGATTCGAGGGAAAGGGGCTGAGAAGGGTAGTGGGGCCCTGTGCGTCTGTCAAAACTTAAGGCCCTGGTATGCGGACAAGTGGGTGCAGCCTTTGCTGCTTGCAATGCACTTACGCCAGGTTGAGTCAGTTTGTGCGATATGTGTGTTCATGAGTGTGATGTCGTCATTCCTTCGCTGGTTTGTGTCGTATCGCCTGGGGCAAGAATCACGAGCGCCTCACATCCGAGGGCTTGGCTAAACATATTGTGATAGTGAATCCGAGACCCTCTTCGTTGGGCTCGCTTAGCTGGCGTGTGCATGCTGAGAGCGCTGGGGCACCGTCGTTGACGGTGTTACGCACTGCGATCATGCAATCCCATTCGGGTGGTGTGCTGGTTATCTCCTGTCAGAAGGCGAAAAGGAAGAACGGCATGTTTCCAAACATACTGGGTGTCGATTGGCTAGTCTCCGCTGTTCGCCTGCAGGCTTTGCAGATTTCTGCTGCAATAGGAGTCGACGAAATGTCATGTCCATCTTCTCGGGGCAATGTGCCAACGACTTCGCTGCTAGCTGCTTTTTGCCGTGTTCCCGCTAATCGACAGCTTCACCTGTGCTAGACTTGATAGCAGTAACTCTTCTTCTCGCAGAAGTCCTGTCACCTTCTGATCTGTCGAGCATGCAGTGCATCAGGCGGCAACCACGACGTCTACGGCTCTAGCTGCTGGGATGGCAAGACTCGGACACTGATGGAATTTCGCAACATCTAATTCAGTCAATGCTTTCCTGCTCATGTCCAGAGGTTGCTTTGCCCGGGATGCTTTCGTTCAAGGGAGTTTCGGGACTTGGTTCATCAATAGCTATCCAGTTTTTGGGAGCAAGCTCTCGATGCATCGTCGGAGAGATGGCTTTCCGATGCTCGACATGACACTTTGAGAGCAGGCGAAGACAAGTCTTCCACCCAGGGAAGTCGCAAGCGCTGAATCAGCGCCTTCTCGAGCGTCGAGGTATCGTCCATGAAAGGACTGAGTCACAAGATCCGGGCAAAGACACGGCACCTCAGCATGGGCGGCTTCAGGCTGGAGGACCCGCGATGGATTGGACTCTCGACTGACTCGCATGATTCTAATTGCTGGGTTACCTCGGTACATGCAGCAAAGGTGAAGTACGGCATCCCCAACAACTGGCTCAATCTCTTCATCGCTGGAGCCTTGAGCCATGTCGTAAAGCGCACTGTCTCCTCTCCATTCGCCTGGGTGAAGTTTGCGAGCAGGTGCTTGAGTTTTGCTGTTCCGCTGCGGTGATCTATGTTCCAAGCCTGCAGCACCGCGGCCTCAGCTTGGCTTCTTCACAGCTGGCACGTTACTGTAGCTTGATTTAGCACGGCTCGTTGCCTTCCTCCTGTGAGGCACGCTTTCGGCATGCGGGCACTCTCGAAGCAGCAGCTTTTCATCGGGTCAATGGCCCTGCCATTTGGCCACAATTGCCAAGCTCAGTTGCGGCTCAGTAGCAGCCATTTGATTCGAGAGCCTGTTCTTTCAGGTTTCTGATTGTGTTTCTGGACGAGCTCCGCAAGGCGTGGGTCAGGAGCCGGGCCGGGCACTCCTGGGCTGGCGCCTACGACGACGACTACCACACCACTAATTATTATTAGTGCTACTACTACGACTGCCGTGACTGCCCCAGGTTAGTTAGTTTGTGATACAACTTGATCCATCACCTTCATGTTTAGGAACTGGTTTAACTATTTTATGGTCATGTTGTTGTTTTGATTTATCACTGTGGCTTAATTTTCTTGTGGTCAGTAACTTTGATCCGTCACCCCTCGCCTGGGCTTCTTGGTTGATGTTGCGATGTCTGCTATAAAGCTTCGAGCCTTTTTCCTGCTTTCGGCTAAAAGCCGCTAGGAGTGATGCCCATGCCTCCCAGCAACAGCCGAAGCCTGTGCAGACGGAGACGGCCGCCCGGCCTCGGCTTCAAGAGTAGCGGTTGTAGCGTGTGTTTGCATCCTCTGAAACTCGCAGAGTTCGTACTGAGTTGCCTTGTCTGTTTTAGGAAAGTCGCTCCATGTCTGGAGTCTGCAGGTGAAGCAGAAGCAAGAGCGGCAAGAGCATGGTGACACCGCCCCAGCTTCCGAAGCGATACCCGACATTGGTGGCTCCGCGCCGATCTCAGCCCAGAAACCTCTGCTGGATTCCTGTGGCGCAAGTGGGTCTCTACCCTGTGCTGCACAAAGGCTTAGAAGATGTCCTGCGAGCCCATTGCAGTCTTCGCGGCAGGATCTCCGTGGAAACGGAAAGCCTGCCACTTTTGCTCTGTGGCATCACGAAGTGATTGTCCAATTCAGGATTGTGCTGCGTAGCTGCAAGAACAGGGCAGGCAAAAGCGATAAAAAGCAAGCATTACTCTCAACTGCAAAAGCGCAAAGTGCAGCTTCTGCGAGCACGACATGCTGGCATGTACAACTTTAGCAGCCTTTGCTCGCTTGTCAGCAGCGGTGCTCTCAGACGTTGGCTTCCCCGCTGATTGTCATCACCGCTCGTAGGCCAGGGTGCAGCAAACGCTTTCGGGGAGACACCTGTGCACGTGGGCAAGGCGCAATGACCGCCGTCCGCCGATGTGTTCGCGTGCTCTGCCTGCTTGCTCTTCTATCAGGCTGGGGGTGGGGGTCCGGGGGTGCGTGTACGGGCATCTGATGCTGCATGTGCGAAGTTCCGCTGCGTTTGTTGAAGGTGCTTGGCACCTTACATCTGCCGCCTTCAGTTCCCCGGCACAGTCAAGGAGCAGAGACTTGGGAGTTTGGACTGACTGAGCGAACTCTCCTTCTAAACATCATCCGCAGTTGGCCTGCGTGTGTCGCCACAGCTTGTGTGCGGAACTCGAGTGCAGAGCAAGGCCTGCGCAGGGCCTTTTGAGTTCTTGAGGCAGTTTACAGCTTAGAGAGCCATTAGCAGCATTAGCAAGCAGTCTGCGCCATCTGCACGGCGATGTTGACATGTTGTGGAGACGTGCAGGATGTCACGCAGAGCCTACGAATCCGGGAAAGCCAACGTCGGCGCCGAGATCTCCGACACAGACGCTCGCGCCTCAGATCAGTGTGTGTGGACCAAGATGATGACAAAGCATATCTTTCGAGACTGACAAGTTTTGTCTTCGAAAGATTCGAAAGGTCCAGCCACCACCACCGCCGGTCCTGGAGTGCGACGAGGGATGCATGACAGCTATCTTCGACTGCATTGAAGAAGGCTGTTCTGTCGATGCGCCGCTCGCGAGCACCATAAAGCTTTCCTGGTAATGTGCACGTTCATGTGACAGAAGGAGGCTGTTACACGTTGCAAGGTTGTTGAAGCTGGATCAGAAGTTGGCAGACGATGAGCAACGAATCGCCGACACAGTGAAGGAGCTTGAGGGTGTGCAGAAGACAGTACCTCGAAACAACTTGCTTCATCGACTTGCCCTTGAATTTCAATTCTGCACTTTGCCAAGGCATTCTCGCCAGAAAACGCAGGCCTGTTTTGCCCAGAAATCTCAAAATCGCAGAGCTCTTCACATCGCGCCCCTTCGCAGGGACACTTGCTTGGCTGAACAACTTCCTGAGCCGCAGCGGCAGCTTGCGCGGACAGCTGCAGGCACTCCAGGGAGTCAAGGACCGCTGGTCGAAGTCTGGATCCATCCGCAGTCCGACGGTTCGGTTGAGATATGTTCAGTTCATGGTTGGACTGGAGTCGGACACAAACATGGCCCAATGTCGCATAGGTTGTTTAATGGTAGCGAGGCCCGGTAGCCTTAGCTTGTACTCGGACGGATGCGTCAAGTCTCGGGCCATGTTGCTTGTAACAGCCTTCTGCCTTCGTGGCATTTTTCTTGCACTCAGCAGGCCACCACCTGCGCGAGAGATGAGAGAGCATCGGAGGGCATGCAACCCGAAGCATCCCGAGCCCGAATCAAACAGGAGTCCTGGAACCATAGCTTTTGCTGTTTGGTATGCAACAGCATGGCCTTGCCTGAAGAGCAGGACTCGAACTTTGTTCAGCAAATCGTCAAGGCTGCATCGGTGGCTTTTGGCGGCGGACGGCCCAATGACTACCCCAAGGCACAACCGGACTGCACAGCTCAGAAGCAGTGAAAATTCAGGCTTTCACAGGGCAGTAGATGTTGGGGGATGCACGGGCCTGGCCAGGTTGGTGTGTCTCCGTACTCCTCCTGAACTTGGGGCGTTCGCGGGCAACAAGGAGCATCGCGACACATCTCTTGCAGCTCTCCTGCTATTTCCAGGTAGGGGCGGGCAATTGGCCAAAGGGCTGGCTTTGGCCATTTTGCTTGGAACCAGTTCTTGTGAAGTTTTGACCTTTGCAGAAGCACAAAGGTTCTTTCCGAGAAGAGTTTTGCTGAATGACGTTTATAGAGAGATGTCGGTTTGCTCTGCAGCTTCAAAAGGCTTGTGCTAGTTGCGCGCAGGGAAATTTGACTTTCCGAAGAGACCACAGCCAGGCTTCAGATTTGCCTGACCTTTGGAGTCACTGGTTTCCCGAACAGAGAAAGCTGTAAGGGCGGCAATAAGAGCAAGAATAATCGGACGAAGAAAATTCAACATGACGATGAGTTTTGCAGAAATTAGTCTCGAACCTCAGATCTTGACTCAAGCCTCCTGAACAGCAGCCATTGCACGACCGGTGTCTGTTGCAAGACTGTGTTCGTGTAGGGGTGAGGCTCAAGTTGCACGATATTTCACGCAAACCTGCGTCCAGATAGATGCGTCTCGGGACATGGACAGCTCCACGAAACCACCCCGGGACTGGCGCGAGGCATTCCAGCTACTGCGCACGTCCCAGCGTCTGAGACCAAGCACGGTTTGCTTTCGGCAAAATTTGCTCCTCGCTTCTCTGGCTACTTCTCGGAGCTGGAATGTGGCGACTGCCATCTGTGCTGGCATCCGGCGGCAGGGTGCTGCGGACATGGTGACCTTTAACTCCCTGTTGAAAGCGTGCTGCGCTTCATGGGCACTGGCCCTTAGCATTCTGCAGCTGTCGGCCTGCATGGGGCTGCGCAGCGACCCAGTCACACAGAGCACGATCCTTGGATCGTGCAGCATTTCGGCATGGTGTCGCGGAGAGTCGTTGCTGTCAAGTGCAATTCGACAGCGACTGCGAAGCAACGTTATCTGCGAGAGTGCACGCATTCGAGGCAGCTCTCACTGGAGAAATGTTTTGACACTTCATGCAAAAATGCGGATGGTGTGCATTCAGACCGACCAGATCAACATCAACTCCGTGGTCACTTCGTGTGGTGCTGCGTGGCTCCAAGCGCAGAGTTTGCTATCCAGCACTACCTTGACAGGCGATCGTGAGACACACAATGCTGTTGCACGTATCTTTGGTAAGGCCTCTGTGTGGGAAAGCTCTCTCTGTTGTTTGAGCCACGCCCTCTCGAAGTCGTTGCGCTTGGACGCTTACTCTGGGACATCGCTCCTGACACGCCCCGCCAGTTCCTGCCGGACACATGTGCTACAGTGGAAAATGCCTTTGTTGGCATTCTCTGACTTGGTTCGCCGCTGCGGGCTAGTGTCGAACCTGATTTCCTGGAGTGCAGCCATCAGCTTCAGTGAGCCAGCTGGCTGGAGGAGGTGTCTGGACCACTTTCTAAAAGGATGCCAAACTCGCCTGCTCCGCAACGCTGTTGTCGAGATCAGTGTTGCGGCCTCTGTGGAAACACATTGGCGGCAGGCCCTGAGTTTTTGCAGACGTGCGGTGCCAAACGCAGAAACTTGGACTTGCTTGGCTCGAGCATGCGCACCGTCTGCGTGGAACATCGCTTTGCTGCTGCATTCGGCTTTGGCTTGCAGCAGTGCAGAAGTGGACCGGTTCTACTGCAACGCTTTGATAGCTTCTACAAGCCCAACAAGTTGGCAACTACGGCTGGCTTTGCTTGAGACGACGGGCCGAACTGTCGCACGACCTGATCACCATGCGTATGGTTCTTTGGCAGCTGGGGCAGAAGCTGGCGAGTGGTGCGAGGCCATGGAGCTTCTGCAGCTCACTGCAGGCAGAGGTTTGCTGCTGAATGCAGTCATGATCTCTTCACTTCAGGTGGCCTGCCAGCGTGGAATGAATTGGAGGCAGCCGATCGCTATGATGATGCAAGCCCAAGCGGTCAAAGCAGCCGAAAACCCTGCAGTATGTGCGACCACGATTGGTGCGTGCGGCAAATGCGGCAAGTGGAGACAGCAGCTGGCTTTGCTTTCCCACTGGACAATAGCCCGCCTGCAAACTGATGAGACTCTGTATGCCGATTTTAGTCACTTGGAAACACGATCTTGGCGCACTGCACTTGTCGCCGCAAAATCGTGGCAGGCAAAATTCCCGCTCGATGATTCACTAAGCACAATTTGTACAGCCTGTGCCACGAGCAGCAACTGGGAGCTCATGATTTTCTTGTCCGGGAAAGCACCTGGTTCGGGCTTTTTCAGGCACGGTGCTTCCGTGCTTCGGGAAAGCCACATCATTCAGAATACCCGCGTGCTCCTTCACATGCTCGACAGAGTATGTGAAGAGTGCTTGACGCTGTTGGGAAAGGGTGCGCTTTCAGGATTGTTTGGAGCGGGCGAGGTGGAACACCAACTAGTCAAGCAGTTCAAGCTCCGCATAATCGATGAGTCGTACTCGTTCTGCCCATTGCATTGCTAAGTATTTCTTTCCCTGGAGCCCCTTTGTCTGGCAGGCCGCAAGTAGAGGAATCTTCTGTTTCTGCATGGGAGTTCTCCTTACGTCCTTGCGTATGGGACCTCGCCCTACCCCTTTGCGCCTCCTCTTCAGGCAAAATCCGCCACAGATTGATTATGTTCGAATACCTAGACACAGTGACCTTGGTATCGCAGACATGGCAGGGCAAACAGTGGTGGACGTGATTGTAGCTATAAGCTGAGTTCTGTCAGACTCGTTCCCTGCCTAGCATGTTGACCTAGCATGTGCCCTCCCTGCCGAGTTCTTGGATTATTTCCTCAGGATGGCCGAATATAACTTTCGGTCGAAGAATGCCGTTGCTCAGTTTCTGCAGGCCTTCCTGTCGAAGTGGCGGGCAGCCTGGTTTACGTGTAAGCACGCAGAAGATCCAGCTTTGCCTGGAAGGTCCGGTGACAAGTTGGAGGGAATAACGGAAGTGAGGTGGTCTCGGTGGCAGGTTCCAACTCGGTCTGGAGGTGTTCAAGAGAGACCAGGGACCAAGTTTACAGACCGACGGCCGCTCCGCTTTCACCAATGTGACATGAAGCCGCAGAATCCGAAAAACCGCAAATTGAGCCTTGGCCTTAGATCCGAGACTCAGAAACAGAAGCCCCAGCCTTAGGCTCTGGAGCAGTTTGGAGTTTGATGCTCGAAATACAAGAGCCGGAACATTGGATCCGAAGCTCAAAATCTGGGGCTTGAGACATTTTGGAAAAAGGCCTCTTTCGACGCGGATCTCAACTTGTCGGGTTTGGGAAAGCGATTTGCATTCTCGCTGGGCCACGACCAGCCACCTCTCAGCAAGCGCTTTCGCCTACTAGCCTGTCGTACCTCGTGCCAAAAGCGATTGGCAAGAAGGCTCATTCGTAACACATGCATGTAGTGCTAAAATCCCAGCAACAGGTGGAACACAAGATCGCTGCAGACCGTTAGTGAGAAACAGGCTCCCGCCATCGCTCCCGATCGTGTATTTCGAGGCTTGCTGTTCTGAAGGGAGTGTTTACTGTCCAACGGATTTCGAGTTGCGGATCTCATGTTCCAGCTCTCAAGTTTGGAATCTATAGCTCCGGATTTGAGACCTAAACTCTAAAACTCTTACCCAAGAAACAGTCTCAACATGTGGGATCTCGGTTCAGAGGTGGTGTGTGGGCTTCACGGCTCTAATTTGGAATTCTGGCATCTGCAGCTCCAGACTCGGACTCTGGGGTGTGAGGTTCTTCCGGAGGTGCTGTGACTCTAGAATCCAGTTCTTGGAATAATTTGTTGATCGTGATTCCTGTCCCTGTAGGAACAGTCGATGAATTGATCCGTCAGGTCCTCAGTTCGAACCACCGAAGGATGCATGACCCGGCAACGAGGAAGAGAAAAGCATTCAATAGATCTGGCGTAAGCAGGACATATATCGTCTGCTGTATACTGCTGTATTTCGATCCTTGCGATCGTTGGGTGGCCATCCCGCTTCGGCCACTTGAATGTATGGCTTGGCATAGGCATAGACAGAAAAGACATTGACCTCGAGGAAGCTTTCAGATTGAAAGGCGTTCACCAAAGTTTCCGCCATCTCTCGGTTTAATCTCGTTTGCCCAGCCTCCCACCTTGTCGAAAGCAATGCAAGTGTGGGGAACGAGGGCGCGCAACAAAATTACGAACATCTCGGCGAGTTCCGTTGGTATTTACGGTGCTGCGAGGTGCTGTTACTGTTTCTGAGCCTTGAGTCTATAACAAGTTTGGGGCAGCATAGTTGAGCTCTGAGCTACCCAGCTCAGTCCACGGAGTCTAGGGCTGAACTCGGTTGGACGCTGAGTCAGCTCTTGCCGAGGCCGTTATGCGAGCTGTGTGGTCATGCGGTGTAAACGGTGTCTTTGCAATCACACTCTGAAAGATCCTGAAGTCGAACTCGAGAGTGTTACAGAAAAGCGGACTCAGCAACCGCAAGTGTTGGACTTTCTTTGGAGATTCTTGGAGGCATCGAGCAACTCATTTCAACGGGACCGCACCTGAGCGGGGATTGCGTTTTTGCTTTAAAAATAACATAACACCCTCATCCACTGCAGGAACACCTAAAAGAAGCCCCCCCGCAGCAGCGGGAATACAGCAACAGCAAACACAACAGGACATCTACAAACCCACACACCTCGGTAGCAGCAGCAAAACCAAAAACCATCCTCCTCATCAGCAAAAAGAAGTAAAAGTAAGCACGTGTCTCCTTCTGGCAGAGACTTCAAAAGGAAAGCAAGGCCCGCCGCTCCGCAGGAGGAAAGAAAGCAGCAGCAAGGAAAAATAACTGCACCGGACCCAACAGACGTGCACTCTTGCAAGACGGCACAGCTTCGTGCTGACGCTGGCTTCCATTGTCTATTCTATGCATGCACGAATGTGCACCGTCTGCGGCAATTCCGCGGCCATTTTTGGTTCAGATTGGGAATGATTTTTCCCAATTTTCTGGCGGAGGTTGGAGCTCCGCTGTGCGTGTGCTTCTCAGTATGCGAGTCGGCGAGTCATGTTTCAACGCTCGTCGATTTCCATTCGCCAGCCTGAACAGCTTTGCCTGGCAAGGATTGTCAGACAGGCTGACGACACAATGAGTAGTCAGCGCCACACCCTTATGAAGCCATCTTGCTGACAAAGTACAGAGCAAAGAAATTGTAAGTGCATCCGTGCCGGCAAGTGTGCTGTGCGGAGTGCGGCTCGCTCAGTGCATGTTGGGTTTGTGGTAATGTTTTCGAGCGAAGGCAACCAGAAAGCCGACCGCCGCAGGCGAAGCGGAGGAGCAGGTGGATGTACCTATGAGGTTGTCCTTCCCTCAATACCCTACTGCTGTCCATTTCTGTCCATAACGTTATTTCGTTGCTGACCCACACGACAGATACTTTGCAAGCTCAGTTTCGATTCTGTGATCTGGTTGGAGCAGCTGTTCTGGCGCATTGAGATGTGACACCGCAACATACCGGGCGGGCAAAGCTGAAGCCCGGAAGGGACCCCGGAAGCACGGGGAAGCAAGAGGGGAACTACATCCAAATCGCCGGCCTTGTGTGAAGAAGCGTGCTTACCAAGTGAGCCGCGGCCGACTTGCATCATGCATGTTTACCCAAATCGGGATCGTCTTCGCATGTGACCTAACGACCTGACGCTGAAGTAACGCTACTTACAGACTCTGCCTTCGAGAACGCTGAGCTTCTGTAATACGGACAGGACATCCAGAAGGCCAATCAGCCGGCAGCAGTCTAAAGCAGTGGCGCAGAGATTATTTCCCCTTTTTAGCGGCAACAGCTATCTCTCCAGTTTCTCCAAATTGGGCTGTAAGTAAGACCACTCACTACAAAACACTCTTCCTGCATGTAAACCAGGGGCAAAATCACGAATCTGCCCTTGGTGTAGACTGAAGAGCCGTCTATGGCTGCAGGAGAGATGCTTCAAAGCCCTGTGAGAAGCTACAACGAGGCCATTGCTTCATGTTTCATTTTCTGTCCTGTTTTGCCGGCTTGCCTCCTGACGTAGGCGGACGCACCCACAACTCCTTGCAGGGGCTCTCCGCAGCAAAAGGCCTTGTGAGTGTTTGTTTCCCACTGATGGTGCACATTCGCGAAGTCGTGTGGTTCATTGCGCATCCTGCGCTCCAGGCTCTCGTCGGAAGCCCGTCGTTGGAGCCCCACTCTTCAGTTTATTTCAGCTTGCTGGCTGGAGCGTGTTTGAGAAATTCACCGGACTAGGCCTGAGACTTTGTGCCCGCAGCCTCGACGGCCTTTTCCGAACGCTGCTGCACCATCGCTTGTGCCTCATGTTCTCTTCAGCAGGCCAGTCATAATTGCACACATGCTGAAAAATACTTCTCCTGGTCATGAGGCTGGAGCAGTGCGGGAGCCCAGCATGCGCTTTGTGTGATATAGCGTGTACGGATGCTGTTGCAAGCGATGAAAGCCCGCGAGGCTTGCCGGCATGCCAGGAACCGAAGAGGCAGCCTGCAGCAAGGACGATATAGCTTTGGCGCAGCTGCTGCTAGAATCGTCCTTCGATTTGCACATTGGCGGATGCACTGTACCTGTCTACACGTGACCTCGTCCCGGGTTGTCTACCCTGCCAGGCGAGTATTTCACCTGCCGCTTAGGCAGTTCAGGCGTTTGAAGTATTAAACGTGCCTGGCATCTAGTGATCATTACACGACGGCATGCTGCCTGGTCAGGTGTGTGGGAGCATGGAAAGCCTTACTCTGACCTTCACAAATGGTCCTGATAGTTTGGTCACACTCCCTTTCCATCACCGTCCTTCCCGATCTTCACTCGCCGGGGCAAGTGACCAGCCCAGCGTTCGCCGCATAATGTCCCCCCTCCATGAGTGGAAAAGCTTCTGGATTGGTACACACGAGCTCGGAGCTGCACACAGTGATGCGATTAAGCGTTCATGGTAGTCTTGACATTTTCGGAGCTTGGCTGTGCCTGCGCCAGTCCCAACTTCCTCCTCAGTTCACAGCAGGGCATGTAGGCCAGGCAAGCCACACCAGCGATAAAAGATAAGCCGAGCTGGATTTTCTACTGTCCAAGTCCTTAGAGACTTCAGCCACCGCGAGATCTTCAATTCAAATCGTCGCCGGATGCTTTGAACCATCTGCGACGTTTGCCACCATTGCCTGTGACAGCATATTTCTGTTAAACACGGGTTTGCTTACAGCAGCCCGTGCAAATCTGCAGGGGTTCCTCAGTAGTGAGACGTTTGACACACAAGCTAGGAGCGTTCCGCTTGAAGAAGTTGGCATTGCCGAAGGAGTTGAAAGATCTATGGAGCAGCACATCGTGGAAGCTTTCGGCAGGCTGTCTACAGTTCGTTCGAAATGCGGTACCTACATTTGTGAAGTGAGAATTGCCAGGTGCTGCAACGCCAGGACGTCTACCCTGGGAGTTTCCGGCTCAAGCTGCGAGGTCGAGTATCTTCGTTGGCTGTGCTTATGCTTGTGCTTCCAAGGAACAGACCGCTGAGCGCCGTCAGCACGAATGCAGGTGCAACCCCAAGCTTGGACGACCAATGCCTCGAGCTTAGCGCTGAACAGAGTCATGGCAGTCGAGTTGGCGTCACTGGTAGTGACTTGGTGGATCTTGCCAAGGTCGCTTGCAGTGGTCTGGCCGTGCTTAGAGGCCAGGATCGGAGACCCAGCTAAGCTCCCGTAGTCGCCAGGTTCAGCCCGGCTCCATCTTCTGCTGCTCCGACACCGTCCCAGGCTGACTTCGGACATGGAACTCACGCTCAGCACACTCAGCATTTGGCCACGTTCGTGTGTATGCAGGACTTTGAGCGCTACAGGGCAATCCCGCCTTCTCAGGCTGACTCCCTCGCCCTAATTTGTGCAGCACACCCGACTTTGTGAGCGGACTTTGACCAGGTGCGAAAAGTTTTCGTGGGTGGCATCCCGCAAGATTTTACGCAAGATGATTTATGCGTCAACGACTTACTGGTGCGGATGCGTGTGGGACAGCAGGGTGGCATCAGACACTGTGCTCGAACCTTCGGCATCCGGGGAGTGAATAAGAGCAGGAACTGTTCAGCCAGTTCGGGGCGGTGACGAAGGCGAATCTTTGAGCGCAGAGAGGAAATCGGAAATAGCTCTTGCTGAGCTCTGCCTTCTCAACCTACCGTGAAGGCCTGGCTGCAGCGCCACCGTCAAAATGACAACGACTTTGGACACGTGTGGGCCTTTCGGCGTAGCATGATGCAACATTCCAGTACATCCAGCAGGCTGAACTTCCACTCTCGGTGCTGCCAAGAATCAACCTGCCTCGGCCTAATCAGGCATCTTCTCAGCGTTCGCCCAGCCATCGCGGTTTTGGATTCGTCATTTTCCAAGATGCCAGCATGGACGAGCTCTCAGACGCATTGTGGACGTGGTTGTAGATGCATCGCGTGAGTCCTGTGGCCCAGAGAATGCCCATTAGGTTGATGAACTTCTTGGCCCAGAATCTTCTTGCTTCATGGAAATCAAGGAGCGGAGATGTCATCCAGGTGTCGATGTTCTGCTGCAACGCAGTTCAAAGCCCTGTCAGGATGGGCGGCGCATTGAGGTCAAGCGTGCCAAAAGCAGCTAGGGCCCCAGGCATTCAGGTCAGGTGTCAAAAATTAGTCTCAAGCGCCTCAGTCCTCTGAAAACCTAGTATGCTCGGTCCGGACAGGCAACGACATCATCGGAGAGAGGCAGACGCCGCATCCAGAGGCGTTGCACCCTCAAGGAGTATAAGGAGTGTGAACCGTTTTCTGCATCACGATGCGTCGTTGATTTTGCGGCATTCGAGGTCGAAGCAGGCTTGGAGCCTCCAGCAGACCAGGTCTGGTGCTTGCAGTCTTGCAGTTTGCTTCCCTCTTTCCGTGTGGGGACTGGTCCGACTTGTTGCAGGAGTGACCAACCACATGGGCTGCAGCCTGACAAGTACGTGCGAACACTTCTGCTGCTGCCCCACCATTCTTCTGAGCATGCACGAGGTCCCAGCCCCAACCGGTGCAACGGCCTGTTCAGAGTTCCCAATTCGCCGACTTCTCGGGTTGTCTTCCGGTGCGACATTTCTGACGAGACAGAAGTGAGGCGATCACTCGGGAATCTTTGCTCGTATGCTTGAGGTCCCATGTGCAAGCTTGACCTGTCACTGCCTGAGCTGGGTGCAATCTACCGACGCTGCGTAGGATCTGATCCAGACAGGTGGCACAGTTCCAGCTGGTGGCTGGTCGTGTTGTTCTCAGCTGATTATTTCGCCCTCCGTTGTTGGCATTTTGCTGTTGCGGTGCATGAAGGGGCTTTTCCGTGAATTTATTCATGTTCTCGCGATTGGACGCTCGACATACAGGCAACCACTGATACCTGTCGACGAACGACGAAACAGCAACGCTGGACATTCGAGGAATCGCATCGTCGCAACTGTTCAAACACGGCTGTCACAAACTGTTCAACCTGGTGCTCTGTACCGCTTGGCCTCTTGAAAAGCACCCGAAGGTTCACACGAAATCCGTTGCACAGAATCTTGTCGCGATGTGAATGCTACGTGGTAATGCAGAGCTATCACCACAGATTGGCCCGGTCCTGACCATGTCTTGAGGCCCATGGTTTGGACGGGCTCTGTGGCAACAGGCACGGTGCCGCCGGCCTGGGGAGGGAACAACCAGGCCTGGCACTGGAGTCATGCTGGCAGCATTTGCGATCCTTTATTGTCAGCATCTGACTCAGGCTGTGCCTGTTGACACTGCACAGAGCTCACGCAACGCACTAGCATGGCCGCAGCGCACAGAGCCTGCACCGACAGCGCGAAATGCTCCTGGTACACCGTCGCCACCTGAGCATACCTGCTCCAGAGGGGCCAGGACTCATTCGCTCATCACCACCCAGGCAGATGATTTGCCAACAGGCGCCAGCCTGAGTCTCACCCGAGTTTGCCAACTATTCCGATTCAAAACCTCAAAATCTTAAAAGTCTCGCCAAGTCCTGAATGCTATCATATGCAACACGTGGCAAGGTGCCACCGTTCTCGTTTCCACATTGGGTCGGCTCCTCACAACAGCCTGGCTCAAGATGATTCTGCCCACCACTTCCGAGTTTTCCTGTTCGCACAGGCGGGTGGTGCACAGTCGGAGGCCGCGTCGCGCTCTGTTTTTCGTGCAGCCTGAGGACAGATTACGAAGGGCCATGCATGCCAGGAAGAGAAGCAGAAGCTGGTGCAGCTGTTGCAAGCTGCTGCGCGCACGTCTCAGACACAAGCAAACCCTGTCAGATTCAGGACATTTTTCTGCATTCAATGCCCTTGTGATAATTCTGGCTAGACGTTCGAGGCGACCTTTAGCTCCGCGTAAATCCACCTTTGCAGCCTGCTCCGTGCAGGCCAGCGTATTACGCGGATTGAAAAGGCCACAGGCCCGACCTTCCGTTCGTACTGTGACGTGCCAGATTGATAATTCTGGGAGTTGCGATTAAATCAGAGCCTGGTACAGTGCAATGCTGCGATGCACAACAATCCGTACAATCTCGGTGCAGCGGCTGAACTACTTGAGAGACTCGCATGCCAGGTAAAAGATCCGTTCTAGATGTCCCGCCCTCAATGCTGCTGGTGTTGCTTGCGATCTCACCTTTGTGTGCTTCGGGCACTGTAAGTTTTGCCGGCAGTACGTCGACAGCTCATGCTGCTCGAGCTTTCTGGTTCATCTAAGAGAATTTCGACGGCTGGTAGTTGTCGTTGTTGCTTCCACCTTGGGGGAAATCACATGTAGTTGCGAGGTGAATCGCGCTGCCTCGCCTGCGCAGTTGAGGCTAGTTTCTGATGGTGCAAGGACCAGAGTACCTCGTCGACGATAGATGCAGGAATGTGTCAGCATCCCATTGGTGCAGGCAGTGCTTCTATGCAGAGTTCCATTGTGATCGCTAAAGGCTGCATTCTCCCTGGCATTGGCCAGGCCAGTAAATGTGAAAGGGACGGGCGTGGATAAATCTAGATCCTGAGCCATGATATGTAGACATGCGCTGCTTGAACTGGCGGCACCTGTTTTTTCCAACCGTTCCATCTTACCTACCGGGTGTCGTGAGCCTCTGGATGAAAACAATGCCAGGTCTTCAAATCATCTTGAAGATGAGCCTGTCACTCGCTCGTGCAGCCGGCGAAGTTTTGTGTTTCCAGAAAGCTTAGCCACTAAGCTTGTAGCATCAGTAGCTTTCGCAAGACGTGTTTCGGCCACTCCTTCGCTGGCGTGTTGATCTTGCAGCATTCGCTGCCAGTAATGCAGCCAAAATAGGCAGAGGCCACTCAAGCCGACTACTTATTGCATCATGTAACTGTTACTTCGACGATACCCTGCATTGCGGGCTTTGTCCTTGCTAGGTATAGGAGGGAAAAAAATTGCATCATTTCAATCGGTGGCACTCTGCTTCCCATGCACCTATGCTGGAGATATGGAATTGCAGCGCCGCCTGCCTGCATGGTAGTGGCATGCGACCTTAGGCAGACCGGGTTATGAGAACAAGTCCGTGCTAACGGTTGGGTAGAGCGCATGGCATCGTGAAGCTATTTTGTCATTTCCTTGTGCCGGCTGCCTGGCGTTCTGCTGGTTCGATACCCCGAAACGGGAGTTCGCGGCAGCTCCCACACTTGGTTGTCCAAATGGCTGCCAGTGGATGCCAAACAGTTGCCAATGGAGCACTGTTAATGTGGACAAGCTTTGCTAAGCTCGTCCCACCAATTCTGCCAAGGACCTTCTTCGCAGCTTTTCATCACAGTAACTGCTTCTGTGAGAGCGGCTGGTAGTACACAGTAGGGGTTGAAGTGAGCAGCTATTGTGGGTCTTGAGGCCAAGTATGAGTTTGCCGCTTTTGCTTGCATGATCAGTTGCTCCATCACGACCTTTGGATCAGGAGCTTGCGCTCGCAGCTGTGTGGAAAACAGTCCGCTGAGCCCAAGCAATTGGGAATGGAATGCATGCAGGCATGCAGTAGCACTGGGTGGGCCTCAGGCATGTTGTTCTGCGCTGCTAGACCTTCTGGATGTAACGGCACAGAGAGAGAGAGAGAGAGAGAGAGAGAGAGAGAGAGAGAGAATACATCACGCGGACTCTTCCCTTGCAGCGAGCGAGCGAGCGAGAGAACACATCAAAAAGCAGTTAAAGAAATGACAACTATGGAAAAGCAGGGCAGCGAAGAAGTAAGCTGGAAAGCAGGTAAAACTAGTTACAATGTGTTTCGAGGTAGGCTGTTCGGGAATCACAATCGGCAAGTCTCTGTGATGGGCTACCTCGTCACTTTGCCAGTCTCTATCTTGATACTAGCTATTTAGGGCAGCGGGGATTTGCAGGATCTTGTTGTTCTGCATCAACCAGGTTGTGATTTACAATTTGCCGGGTTGTGTTCTGAGGGAATGACAATTTGCAATGTCCTTCTTTGAAGCCAGGTTCTCGAAAACTGCATTTACAGGGTTTTGATGTTTTTGTTTCTTGATGCGCTGTTAATCATTGTTTCCGTTGCACCCTTGGAGTTAAGTATATGTTGATGCATGTTCAGCACCTGTTGATCCGTCAACTGGTCTGCAGCACGCGAGCGCATGCACTTCGGTTTAATTTCGCCGGTCCCCACAGGGAGGGGAGATGCACGGCACCCCGTCTGCAGGATCTGCTATGGCCCGTGGGGGCCCGTGGGGGCCCGTGCCCATGGACTGATTTGGAACCGAGGCTTGCGAGGCGAGGCTTGCAAAGGTTTTGCCCCTAAAGCCTTCTGCCTGTGAAACCTGGATGTCGTGATGAGGGACTGTATACACATGAATTCATATCCACTGTGGATGTGTTGTTTTCTGATTGTCCGACATTCTGGTGGATTTTGGCCTGCATTTCAGTGATCAAGACTCCCGGTTCATGCAAGCATGATCCAGACATGCAGAGTGACACAGTCGAGTCCGTCGCCAGCCGGAGACATAAACTTGAAATAACGTGAACCGTAGCCTTAGTCTCTCTACACATACCTCCACGAAGTGCAAGGCCAGACAAGAGGGAGCTTGGATCGGCCACGGCCACAGATGCCCTCCACTTCCCCTGCATCTGACCTTGCATCTTCCCCCTGCATGCCCCTGCCATGGATGCGAGCTACCTGGGAAGGGGTCGGCTGCGGCTCCTCCCAAGCCAGCAGGATGTTGGAAAGATCCCCATCTTTAACTCGTGTGCCCGCCAGAGGCCCGAAATGTTTCGAGATGTGCTACCTGCAGGTGCAAGTTGCCAGACTTTAGGTTTTGTGCTTGGCACCATTTCCGTCCAGCGCTGCCGATGTTTGCGAAGGGTCTGCAGGGTCGCACGCCACGCAGGTGGCGTGATCGACTACTACGAGGTGCTCGGAGTCAGCAAGAGCGCCAACGAGCGGGAGATCAAATCGAGCTTCAGAAAGTTGGCTCGCCAGTATCATCCCGACATCAACAAAGAGCCCGGAGCACAGGAAAAGTTCCAGCAGATTGCGAAGGCCTACGAGGTTCTTTCAGACACCGATAAGAGAAAGCAGTATAACCAGTTTGGTGATGGTGGCCTTTCTGGCATGAGCGCTGGACCAGATTTGTCTGAAGTAGACCTCGATGACATTCTTGGTGATGTCTTTAGCTCGTTCTTTGGTGGTCGCCCTAACGGAGGTGTTGGAGGAGCTGGCGTTGGTGGTGGAGCTGCCCATGCGAGAAAGGGAGGCCGCACGCGAGCTCGGAGAAAGAGGGCCGAGAAGGGCTCAGACCTGCAATGTAAGGTCGAAGTTCCATTTGAGGTCGCTTGCTTTGGCGGACGTCATGTTGTACATATCAACAGAGAAGAGGCTTGCGAGGCATGCCAGGGACAAGGCGTCACTCCTGGTGAAGAGAAGCATCAGCAGTGCCGCAGATGTGAGGGGTCTGGCGTCATTGCCCAATTTCTGCAGACTCCTTTGGGTGGTATGCAAACACAACAAGTGTGCCCAAAATGCAAGGGATCCGGAATAGATCCAAGTGCAACTTGCCAGTCATGTGGTGGCAAAGGCACGAAGAGCAAAGTCTGCGAAGTGGCGGTGAATATTCCAGTTGGTTGTAACGCTGGTTCCAAGCTGCGTGTGCGAGGAGAAGGCGACAAGGGTGCCCGGGGAGGCCCGCCTGGCGACTTGTACATAACACTCAAGATTGGCCAGTCCGATGAGTATGTCAGGGATGGTACAGACATTTACAATGAGCGGGTCATCAGTGTCTTCGATGCCATGCTTGGGACATCTCTTCAGATCCGAACGGTGGATGGTGAGGGCGTATCCGTGAAGGTGCGCCTTGTAAAGACGCACTCATTTATTGTTCTGCGTCTTAGTTTCATCTTTGCACTGTGGCTTTATCGACTTATTGCCAAGAGGACCTTCTGGGTCTCAGGCACATGCGACAGCGTCTAGAGTGTTCTCGATGCTCAGGTTCCGCCAGGAACGCAGCCTGGGACAACGATGCGTTTGCAAGGACGTGGGGTCCCAAAACTTGGTCTCGAAGGAGAGCGAGGACTGGGAGCCTTCCAACCCAGTGTTCTTGATTCGCTTGATTTTTGGAAGCCTCCCTTTGCAGCTCATGTCTTTGGAATGGGGCTTGCGCGTTTCAGTTTCCGCAGGCGACCACTATGTGACCCTGCGGGTGGAGGCCAGGCGGAGCTGTGAGACTTTTCTTGCCGACGTTTCGTTGGGACTCGAAAGGTGCCTTACCACCTCGACGACCGCCAAAGACAGCTAGTCTCGCGGCTTCGAGATGTTTCTTGGCAGGAGGTTTTCTTCAACATGTCTTATTCTCGTGACTCACCGACAGCAGACCCGAGGAATGTGATCTCGACGGACAAGAAGAACTCCCTCGCAATAAAGAGGCTGTTTCCTAGCTGGAGAAGGAAAGCAAATCGTCCGGAGGAAAAGCGCTCGAGCAAAGACAGCAGAATCAGTCAGCCCGAACACAGCAGTCGCGGAGGTGCGAAGGGCGACCACAGTGTGCTTTGTTTGGAAGTGTTGCTACATGTTGCTGTGTATGCTCGAGCATAGTGTTGCTGCATCCTGTGAGTAGTACCGAGCAAGTGCTGAGCACGGTTTTTGCCGCCGTAGGCGTTCAATCAATCAATCAATCAATCAATCAATCAATCAATCCATCAGTTTTGCTGAGCACTGTATGTCTCAAGTCAAAAAAGTGTCTCAAGTCAACATAAGTGAAGACGGCAGGTTCTCGAATCCAAGGTGATGTTTCTGCATGGAAATCCTAGCATGTAAAGATGTAAACGATGTGCTTCCGGTGAAACGGGAATCATTTTTGGTTCGCCGTGATCTGCCGCTGCGGGCTCTGGATCTGAACAGCTCTGCCTTTCGTGCCAAATACGCATGTGCGACCATGCGAAGTTTAGCGTCGACTTTCGTTTGGCATTGAGTGGACGATTGATCTCGAGTTTGCAGGTAGACAGGCGCAGTACAATCCGACAAGTGCGAGAGGAGCTGACGCAAAAAGCAGCTGGCTCTTCAGCACCTCTTTGCGGGACTTGGAGCCTTTTGTATGGCGGTAAAATTCTGGCGGAAACGGCAGCTGTTGACCAAGTACTTGTGGACCATGCTCTAGTTGATGTGGTCTGTTCTGCCCAGGGCCGTGTGGTAGTCACTGCATCAAACGATTGCACAGCACGTGTTTTCAATCTCGGTACCGGAGATTGCTTGGAGCTCCGGGGTCACTTTGGGCAGGTCTTTGCTTGCACAGTCTCTGCCAATCACTGCCTTCTTGCGACGGCATCAGAGGACGGCACGGCTCGTGTTTGGGCTGTGCACGATGGGAACCCCGTTCAGCTGCTGTGTCTGGGCCACGACGGAGAGGTGTATTCTGCAGTCTTTTCAAGCTGCAGCAGTCTAGTGGTCACTGCATCACAGGATGGCACGGCATGTCTTTGGTGCAGCCACACCGGCCGCAAGCATTGGCGATTTCCTCACGCGGCAGAAGTCTACCTTGCAACTTTTTCCTTTGATGATCAATTGGTTCTCACATCATCGGCAGATGGTGCCGCCTGCATTGTATCAGTTGGCACAGGCGAGCTCGCAGCAAGGCTTGAAGGGCATACCGGTGGTGTCAACCGAGCAGAGTTTTCCCCGGTCAGTTCACTGGTGGTGACGGCATCCAGCACGACAGCACATCTTTGGGATGGGACGACATCGACACGTCTTCACGACATGATCGGCGACAGCGAGCTAAAGTTTGTAAACTTCTCCAGCGATGGCAAGTTGGTTCTCGCCACACGAGCCAGTGGAAGTGCAGAAGTTTGGTGTGTTGTAACGGGCGAACTAATGTGGACGTGCACGCACCACTCAGAGCCAGTGTACATGGCGGCCTCATGCATGCATGGCGCCAACATAGCATTGGCGTGTGAGGACGGAACAGCTACTCTGTGGAGTCGAGATGGTGAGCTGCTGCTAACGCTTGCAGACCACGAAGATGCGGTGACATGGATTTCTTTCTCGCCCTGGGCCGACATGTTGGTAACAGCTTCGTGGGATGGCACAGCCAGGCTTTGGTCGACGGACTCTGGTGAATGCTTGGAGATATTCGAAGGCCATGCAGCACCAGTCCTGTACGCGGAGTTTAGTTACTTGCAGAACTGATCTGTTGCAACATCGAAGAAGTTGAGGCTGAGCTCAGCTGTCATCGATGACAGTTTTCTCGCAGTATGAGACATACCGGGCAAGTGGCATCGGACAGGCCCGGTCGACGAGGCAAATGGTCGCCCTGCAATGGCAAAGTTCTCACGTTTCCGGTGCCTTTCCCGGTCAGCCTTTTCTCGAGGCTTGGTTGTGAGCAAGCCGAACTTGGCGGGGGCATACCAGTCTGTTTGTACTTCTTTCTCTGGACCTCGTCTTCGGGATCATTGTTTGGCTACAAAGATCCGCCAAGAAACAACACCTATGGGGCGATCTTGCCTCTTCTGAGAGAGAGCCGACGCTGCTGCACACATCAGGCTCAGCCGTCCCGCAATGCGATTCTGGTCGGCATCTACCAGCATTGCTGAATGCATCTCGTCAGCAGGCTTCGAATAAGATCTGACAAACGCCTTGGGCTTGAAATGGGCTGTTGTCGGAATACCAATCCGAGTCACATGCTGCTGATCTCGGAGAGGACGGATCAAAACCTGGACACGATGCTTCTGTTAGGATTATTCTTGAAGACAAGTCACTAAGTCTATATACTTACAACTCTTGCTCTTGGCTTCGATCCCGAGAATAGGATACATGCCCGAGCTAACACATAAGCAAGATAAACGAACAAATGTATTGCTTTTCTCTTTGTGCAGCGTTGCATTGTCACATAGCACATGGAAAAGGGACAATAATGCTAGTTATAGTAGTTACAGTTCGGATTTTGATAATACTCTACAAAAATGTGGTTCTAAAGCGGCTTGTAGATCTGGATCTTTGAAGGAAATCTGATCATCTTGTGGCATTGACATAGAAATCCTCATTTTCTGCACAACAGTCAGAAAGAAAATAGGTTATCCATGTTTAATATGAACTGATAACCCCACATAGTCTCTCTATGGATGGTGATGAACGAGGGAATGAGCCTTCTACAGTAGAAGCCCAAAAGTTGGAAACCTCATAGCCTCAATCCTTAAGAGTCATGTATAGGGAATCCCAGCACTATTTGGCCTTAATCACGAATGCGCCTTTGGGACTACATATTCTGCATGACGATTGGATGTTTCGAGGCCTAGGCCGATGTATACTACCGACAGACATGTGCGGTTGGATGTCTGTGTCTGCATGTATGTGCATGCCTCTGCATGGAAGTGTGCTTCTGGATACTCTGGAGATGAATTTACACAAGCTGTTTTGCCGTGACCTGCCTGGACATATGCAGACATTTGCCACCGTCCTGCAAGCTGCTATGTGCATGGAGCCAACAACACCTTTCTTTCTGCATGGGGACAGCATGGGGTTCTGATACTCGCCGGTTGAGGAGTGTGCCACTAGTTATCAGTCTGTGTTTCACTGGTCCCTCAGAGAGCCCAACTAGGTCGTGGGGTTTAAATGGTTTAGCGTTTGCGCTTTGGGGGACTGCTGTCAGTTGCGATCACGTGTTATGCTTGTACACCTGCTGGTAGGCCTTTCTCGGATCTCGTCTGACAGCCACCTGAGTTTGTGACACCTACAACTCAGGAAGACCAAGTAGTTTCGTCGAACCTATATCTACAGACCTTGCCAGGCTTGTCCGAGTGTGAGTGTCAAAAAAAAAAAATCCGGTTTCCAACTTTATGGGTTTTACTGTAGAGCCTTCCAGAGGAGTGTGTGCAGTGTTGTGTGTTCAGTGGGCGTATTTTGTGCAGTGTTGTGCACGGTGTTGTGCTGTGCTGTGTGTTGTGTGTGTGTGTGTGTGTGTTTGTGTGTTGTCCGTGTCGTCTGTGTTGTCTGTGTTGTGTGTTGCAGGTGTTGTGTGTGTGTGTGCCGTTGTGTGTGTGTGTGTGTTGTGTGTTGTGTGTGCTGTGTGAGTAGTGCTGTGTGTGTGTGCGTTGCGTGTGTTGCACGTTGTGAGGCATGTGCGTGCCCAAAGCTGAGTTGTGCATGCTTGTGTGGCATTTTTGGAGACAAGGCTGAGGCGTACTGAGGCCTCAGCTCCTGCAAGTGCCAAAGATGTGGATGATGGAACACCAGCAGATGGGGCAGCGCAGCCGCCTCCTCCGGTCATCCCTCCACCCCTCCAGCAGCCGCCCATCCTGCGGTTCGGGAGATGGGGCCTACGACGACGGATGTGATGGAGAACCTCAAGGAGCTCCACAACACGGTCACTGAAGCTAAGGCCCCTCGTGACGCGGTCATGGAGCGCTTCTTCAAACAAGCCTTTGCTCCCTTGGGGAACAAGCTGCTCCGATTCTCGACATGCTCAAGTAGACCTTGGGACCCTTTGTGGATGACCCAGGTCCGGCCACAAGAACCATTCGTGACATGCTTGCTGCAGTGGAAGAGATGATGCGAGGCCTTGTAAAGTTCTCCAACGATGCTGCTTGGGACTACGGCACCCGCTTTCAGACACTCGACGGTACGTTGGACAACATCATTGGCCGTATGAATGACGTCATGCAGGATATATCGGCCAAAGTGATGACTCAATGACAGCCCCCCGCAAGCTGGACAATCTGGCGACAGTGGTGAAGCCGTCCCCAGTGCCCGCTACGTTGGAGGGCAAGGTCCTCAAGATGCTGTGTCAGATGAAGCAGATGACAGACTTTTTCACGCAGCTCCAGACAGCTGTGTCTGGAGTCACAACCAAAGTGGAAAGCATGGAAGTGATGATCACCGCACAGTCCCAGAAGCCATGGAAGGGATACTATGCAAGATGAACGCGGCCAAGCCAAAAGCGCCACCGCCCTACGGTCCGGCGCCGGAGCTGCCGACCGCTGAACCACCTTTGCAGCCACCGCCTACTCTACGTCCAGGACAGTGGGGTATGCCTGCAATCAGCACGCAGGTTCCCGCGGCGACCGCGGTGGTGGTGGCAATGGGCAAAGAGTGTGGTGCCCCGCCCACTTATCAGGTGCCGCAACAACCACCGCAGATGGCATGTGCAGATATGATCAATGTGATGTGGGAGGGCCGCCCGTATCCTACGCCTGCTGTCCTTGCGCGACAGATGAACCTGCAGCCTGTACAGTAAACCGCGCGGTAGTGAGTCCATGCCTAGGTGATCCTGTCTTTTGTCCATATAGGGCCTTTATTCTGTTTGATGTTACTCGGCCTAGGTCAACCGGATCACGATGGTCCTTGGGCCCTGCGCTTTTCTTAGCTGCCTTGCTTCTGCCCTTGCCCTGCACTGTTCTTGGCCTTGGTACTGTACTCGTACTGCCTGACCCTTGCACTTGTTTTTGGACCCTGTCCTTGCACTGACTGTCCTGTCCTTGACTACTACTTAGTTCTTCCGCTAGCTCTGTGTCCTTTGTTGTTGCTTAGACAGGGGTAGGATTAGGAATCAGGTCTTTTGGGGCCTGCTTGAGACCCCCGCAGCTGTTGCCGCAAGCCGACGATGTTGAAATTCCGGCACTGCCGGCCCTGGCTGGGGGGGGGGCTTTTCTTTCTTAATTGCCTCGACAAGGATTTCCGACTCAGGGAGGATTCAGGCTTTCTTTGATTGTTTGTCCTACGCCAGGAGGGGTTTTCGTAGAGCTGACACTTTGAGAGACCCCGGTTCAAAACCCCGAAACCCCAAAGTATGTGAATTCGTCCGTGGTCCTTGGCCTGAAGTCCTTGATATCGAATGTAGCCGGCTTTCGCCACACTCCATGCTCACGCATTCCTTGCTTCTTCATACCTTATACTGTTTTTGCACAGCCTGGTGCACTGAACTGTTTTTGCACACCTTGGTGCACTGTATAGGAATGGATGACGATGCCTTGAGTTTGTTTTGCTCTACGAGCCCCAAACTGGTGATGCTGGTTACTGCCTGCTACCTGATTGCTGTTTATGGATGGATGTATGCTGCCACACGAGGTGGTGTGTGAGATGTTGTGATCCCCTCCACATGCACCACTGCTCTGCGGGATAAGGACGACGACGACTCCGTTCCGCTGAGGGTGTATCCCCTCGAAAGGGCAATGAATGCCCCAACAAGCCTCGACAAACCTTTCCACATATGCACAGATAGGCTATTATTATGTCGCCATGGCCGATGAGGTCTGTGCTACTCACGTGGCCTGGCTAGGAACTACCACTGGCTGGGCGATGAGCCATGGCTGGTGCGGGCGGCACTAGAGCCGCGCTACATGCAACGGGTATCAATGAGGTGTGCAATGCTGCCTGAATACTGTCTCGGATTGTGTTTGTGGAAAATCCGCGTGCCATCCTGGTCTGAGAGGGGTCTACAGTGGTGGCAGTCGAGCCACTTGCGAAGCAATGCTCAAAACATGTGTTGGAATTCAAATCTGTAAAGTAAAGCTGTCCTGCTTGGGAGACTGCTTGTTCTCTGCGGGCTCTGTGGCCGAAATCTCCGTGGCAGCAGTCTCTGGGGGTGGCTTGGTCTCTTCGGCCTCGACAGCTGCAGTTGATGGGGAGGGTGCTGGTGGTAGCCATGGCAAAACTTGGTTGCAGGGTGCGGCTGCGACCCTCTTGGTGGGATTGAAATGCAGTGGTGCCGGCGACTGGGGCTGCTGGCTGTGCTTGAGCTTGAGCATGGCCAGCTCCTCTTCAAACGTCATGGCCGCTTGCGGTGTTGCAGGTGATCGCTTGCCAATGTACCTGGTGGTATTGTTTACCGCCAAGGACCCATGGGTGTTCCGCAATGGCAGCTTGCTTTGCAAGTATGGCTGCTTGTAAAAACAAACAACTAAAAGCATGAGACATGTGGCTGCAAAACATTGCTCTTCATGCAAGCCGAGAGCCTTCTTCAGCCATGGCGCCATACAGGGCTCCTGGCCCAGTGGCTTCTCCGTGAGGTAAGCTTTTCCCAGCCAGACTTCTCCCATCTCGTTGGGGTTGGCCGGGTAGGTGGCTGCTCCCGGGCAAGCTGTCGCTGGCAAAGCTTGCAAAACCACTGCAAAGTCGGCAACGGCAGAGTTGATGGAGTCTGGGCTGAGGCATGGCTTGCCTTGACCAGATTGGACCATCAACATTATGGCCACAGCCTGTCCCTTGCAGGCTTCCTTGAGGCTTTGGATCGGCTTTGAGCCGCTTGGCCAAGAACCTGCAACTGGTCCGCCTGGGTCCTGTAAGTTGTCAAAGCTGTCCAGTCTGAGTGGGTCAAGTATGGCGCCAGGCCGGAGTTCACGAGCTTCAAGTGAGAGCCCTGGCTCGTGCTCAAGTTCTGGATGGCCAAAGTGCCACTCTTCATGCCTCAAGGACAGTGGAAGACTGGGCCTTGGCCACCAACTGGCAGATGGCTTCGGAGGACTAGGACTGGTAGCTCTTCAGCTTTGTGCAGAAGGTGGAAGCTATAGACACTGCCACTGGGCTGTCTGGTAGCATCTTGCACAAGTTCTGGAGATGGTCCAGCTCCTGGAGCAGGTCCTGGCAGCCGTAGTGTTGCATGGCCTTGGTCTATTGCTTTGGAATGGACTAAAAGGCAATCCTGCCAGAATAGCGTGTTCTATAGCCAAAATGGCTTCGGAGAAGGCAGGCTTACTAGAATGAAAAGCTGTGACTGCAGGAAAACATGTCATGGCTTTTGTCTAATACATAAAATGGTACAGCCAAGCTGGCCGAGGATATGTTTTTTTATCTACAAGCAGATAGGGGAAAGCCTTCTGGCTGGAAGCTACAGACTATGGGTTGCAGGTGGATTTAGGGGAGTAAGGGTTGCAGGCAAGTAGACTTGGCAAAGCTAAGTGGCTGGAAGCTACCAACTCTGGGTTGCAGGCTGCCACAGCATGGTATAGCCGCTTGGCTTCAGGACATGGCATGCAGAACCCTCAGAGCAATTTTTTGGTAGCCACGACTGACTTGGCTGTGGTTTCTCTAGTGGAAGAGGTGGCCGTGGTCTTGGCAGGATCAATTTCTGGGGCATGGCTTAAACAAGCCTGTTGTTGCACTGGTCTCTTCATTGGAGATCTCGAACATGATCTGGCAACGAGGCTGGGTTTTCGCTAGCATGGATCTTTATTACTTGCCGATCTACCCAGGCTTTGAGGCCTGGCTCGCTTAAATACCTGGGATCATGAAACAAACAGATTGGGTTTTACATGGAGTAAAAGAAACCCTGGTGTCTATGGCCATATGACATAAAAAAAAGATTTCATGGGTCTTGGTTGGCGTTCACTCTGCTTGGCGGTGGCAACGGCCCCACTCTTGGCACCGCGCCGTGGCTTACCAGGTTGGGGAGTCCGCCTGGCTTTAGTTGAGTGGTGGTGGCTTGCTGGACTGGACCTGGTCCTACCTATGTTCGTGGAAGGCTATGGATAGGTGGCCCTGCTTGGCTTTGCAAAAGGCCAGTAGCCGCTCCAATTTAATTGTATGTCCATCCAGTATCTTTGATTTTCTTGGGGTGGTTGCTGGAAGATGGTTCTTGCCATCCTGGCGGTGGGTAGGTGGCTCCCTTTCCATCCTGGCGGCGGTCGGTGGCTGCTTGTTGCGGCCATGTGGTGCTCTTGGCGGGATTGGGCCTTTGTCAGCAAGTCCATGCCCCCGCCGCCAGGTGGTAGCCGTGGCGTTTTCGGCCATGGTACTGGATTTGCGGTTGGCCACGGTATTTCTGGTGTGGTGTGGAGTGTCTGGTGCTGTGGTGTGGGATGGTCTGGGGTTGTGGTTGGGGCGACGGGTGCTTGCACTTTGGGTGGTCGAGTGGGTGGGTACTTGAGCTTGGGTCGTATTGGTGTAGGTGGTGGTGCTTCCTGGTGGCAACGGCTGGGGTTGGTTCGGCGCTAACGTCCTCTGGATTGGGTGGTCGCCATACCCGGGCTGGTGGTGCTGGGCGCTAAGGAGACCGGTGGATGGTAGGGCACGGCTGGGTGCGAAGGAGACCGGTGAGCCAGTGCGGACGTTGGTATATGGAAAGGGTAGTGGTGGGCTAGTGAAGCAGGGTGCTGGGCGGAGTCCCACAGTAGGGGCTCGAGCAAGTGGGCTTGGGACTGGGAACAGTTGCGGTTGGCTGGCTTGGTAGGGAGGTTGGTTCTTATTGGGTTGGTGGAAAAGGGTGGGGTGGGGCCACGAAGGTCCAGGAAAAAAACACGGGCGCCTGGGTCAGAGGCTGTCTTGGGAGCCCGGGCTGCTGGGCTGGGCGGGATGACTGGGGATGGTCTGGGGCTGGCAGGGCTGGTGGAGGTGGGTGGCTGGGGCCCCATAAAAACCTTTATTGGGGGGTCTGCTTGGTCCAAATTGGGGCCACCTGGGTTGTCCCCGACGTGGGGCTTCTTTCGAGGTCTGTGGCGTCGTCCATGGCGCCGAAGGCGGTCTCAAAAAAAATAAGATTAGGGTGGTGCTATTCTTGGTATACTGGTATATCTTGGTATCTTATATATGGTGGTTTTGGGTTGGAGCTAGAGATTCAAAATTTGAATTCAAATCTGGATTATAGGATCTTGGATTCAGCCTGATTGATTCGATACTAGATTTAAGATTAGCCATGGCTCCGTCGCCGGGTCTCCAACTTGTTTGGAGCGGATGGGTGGTGCTCTGCTCCTGGGGGGCTTGGCTACGCTGAAGCGGGCAGGGCCCCGCGGGCCTCTGGGAGGAGCGTCGAGTCCTCACCGTGTGGTTGAACCAGCACATTGGGGTCACCCCGCAAAGCTGCCCTGGCAGCCGTGCTTGGGCATGGGCTTGTGGACACCGCCGCAGGTCAGGCTCCGAAGGCCTTGCAAACGGCTGTTTCCTCGTCAGCGAGCTGCTTGGGAGTCGCATGCCGGCCTGTGTGATGCCACCTGGCCTGGTTGGCCGTTGCGTGGGCTTCGCATCGGCGAGGCCGCTCATCCAGGCCCCCGTGCCGATAACGAGAGGGAACGATCTCCTGCCCGACGAGCCGCCACACCCCCTCCGCGCAGGACTTTTTGCCCGGTTCGCGGCTGCTTGTGTGGGGATGCTGCTCGAGCCCGTGGTTGGGCCAGTGTTGCTGGCATGCGCTCGCACATCGATGCCCATTTGGCTGGGACTGTAGCCGGTGAGAAACCTCCAGAGTGGATGCAGCAGCACCGATTCACCAGATGCCTGGTTTGTGGCCTCAGCGTCTCAGATCGATATGGCGTTCATCCCACTTGTCGCCCGGAGGCCCGGGAAGCCGCAGTACCTGCTGAGCCTCGTGGACATACAGTCCGCTCGTACACCAACGTTGAGGCACATACCGGCAGCGGCTCGGCACTTGTGGGCGCAAGTGCTCACCAGAGCCCTTGCTGCGGTTGCCCACCACAACAACGAAAAGGCGGCGTCGTGCACCGACCCCTCCCACCGCTGAAGAGCGCAGGGATATGGCCACGGCACTTGGTCGGGAGGGATTTGACAGGAAGGCTTGCGCTGCTTTGCTCACACCAGGCCTGTGCCCCCCAACTGCGGAAACTGTGCGAGCCTTGGAAGCTCTGCACCCTGATGGTGCGCTCCCTTCACAGCGGCTCTTGCAAGACCTCCCACTGCCGCCGGAAATAGCGCCTGACCTGGTTGCCCGCTCTTTGCGTGCTTTCCCAGCTGAGACGGCTCCTGGCCCCTCCGGTCTACGAGTGCAACACCTTCGCGAAGCTTGCGTGATTGGTGGGCACGACACTCTGCTTGCCCAGCTCACCTCTGTCGTGCAGCTGTTGGCCCAGGGAAGGGCGCCAGCTTTTGTGGCACCGGTGCTGGCCGGAGCAAGCTTGGTTGCCCTCCCCAAGCCCGCCGGCGGTGTCAGACCCATTGCCGTTGGCGAAATACTCAGGCGCCTCACCGGCAAATGTCTCATGGCTTTGGTGAAGGACGAGGCCTGCTCAGGTCGGGGTTGCTGTCAAAGGTGGCACCGACAAGGCCGTCCACGCTGTGCGAGCTTGGGTTGACCGCCATGCTGGATCCACTCGGAAAGTGTTGGTGAAACTGGACTTTCGCAATGCTTTTAACTGTGTCAGTAGGGAAGCGGTGCTGCAGCAAACGTGCACCCACTTTCCTTCCCTTGCCCGTTGGGCCACGTGGTGTTATCGACAACCCACTCGCTTGCAGTTCGCGGAGCATGTTCTTCACAGCCGTTCCGGCGTCCAGCAGGGCGACCCGCTTGGGCCCTTGTTTTTCGCTGCGGCGCTGCAGCCTCTAGCAGCCGACCTTCGCACTGGTCCCTTGGATATGGCCTTGCACTTCCTTGACGATGGAATCATTCAGCTTTAGGCTTGAGCCTCAACCTTGCCAAGTGCGAGTTGGTGGTCCTTGGGCCGGTGGCGCCCTCAGTCTTGAGCTCTTGCTTACCTGGCGCCCTTCTGAAGCAGGAAGATGGGTCTAGCAGGGTCTTGCAACACTTTGAGTTTCTCGGCGCTGCCATCGGGGATGACTCCTTTGTTGAATTTTGTTGAAGCCCACACGGCGAAGCGAGTCACTGAAGCCAGCAAACTCTTTGACGCCTTGGCCACTCTTGAGGACCCACAGGTCGGCATCCGCCTTCTCCGGGCTTGCACAGGCTACACGCGGATGATCCATAGTATGCGGTGCAACCCTTCAAGCGCCCAAGCCTCGGCCCTGGTTGCCTTTGACGAGCTGGTGCAACGTTGTTTTTCCGGCCTCACGGGCATCCACCTAGCTGCAGGCCAATGGCGGAGAGCAACCCTGGCCTTCGCGCAGGCTGGCCTGGGGTTGCGCTCGGCCTGGCCTGTGCTCATGCCCTTGCCGCTTACCTGGCATCGCTTGGATCCAGTTTGTCGGCCTGTGCGGAGCTTGACGCTTCGTTTTCTGTGGATGCTGTCGTCATTTCGTCAGCAGTAGTCCAGGCCCTTGCGGCTCTCAATGCCCGTTTGCCTGGGAACCGAGGGCTGGCGTTGGAAAAGGCGCTGTCGAGCAGACAACATGACCTCTCGGAGCGCATTGATGGAGCTGCCTGGGATGCCCAACTGCTCGCAGCAAACCAGACCGAGCGTGCCACTCTATTCTCTGAAGCCTGTGCTGGAGCGCGGGCTTTTCTCGCGGCACCACCAGCCGGCAAGACCAGAATGGAACCTTCCATTTTCTTGCTGAACTGCGGGTCCGTCTTGGCATCCCCGAAGCCGCCTCTGAAGTTTGGTGTCCGTTGTGCGATGGCGTTTTGGACGCGTAGAGCCACCACGCTGCTACCTGCGTGGCCGGTGGAGAGCGCAACCAACGCCACAACGCTGTACGGGATGTGGTGTGTGCTTGGGCAGAGCGGGCGGGCCTCCATCCTGAAAAGGAAAAGCCCGGCCTCCTCCTCCCTCAGTGTCCGGA